GGGGCATAGGTCCCCCCTGCCCCCTGGGAGTGCACATAGTGGCAGGGAACTGGCCCAAACCTCCCACCGCCTGCAGTCCCATCCTGCTCCCCACCGGGGCCCTGCGGCCGCACGCTACAGCTCTGGGCCCCAAGTCCCATGCCCTACCCAGCTGGGCAGCAGCCACAACCCCAACCCAGTCCCAGCCCTGCCCAACTCCCTCCCAACGTCACTATGGGGGCCTCAATCCTCTCCCCCACCCCCCTGCACCCACCACTTAATTGTGGGAGCTGCTTTCCACGCTGCCTGGCAGCCATGCATATGCATATGCCTGACTGCCCTCCTCCTGCTCCCTCCCAGCCCCTTGCACGTTGGAACTCTGCCAGCCTCCAGAGGGCTCATTGCAAAACTGCAAAATCCATGAGTTTCTCTGCTAAAATAAGAACTCCGTGATTTCCTCAGGTAAAGGGGAAAATCCATGTTTTACTCTGTTTTTTCCATGGGAAACAGAAAACCCAGATCCCTGCTAACTAGAGAGTATTTCTGGTGAAAGAAAACAAGCTGCTTTTTTAAACAAAATTACCTTTTAAAAAGTGAATGAAAAAGATGCATTAGGAAGGTTTATGTGATAGCTTGATTTTGACAGCATTTTCTATGAACACTAATATATTTTCATAGCTCTCAACAACAGAAAAAAAAACAAAGAGCCAAGGAAATGGGAAAAATAAGTAATAGTATTAAATCTATAACAAAGGGTTAAAATGATTTAGCAGCAATATAACAACTTACCTGAGGACACTTAGCTAAACTAGAAATAAAGCTAGAATTAGTGAATTATACCAACACATTACAGAGATGTGGTCTATGCAGCCCCAAAATGTAGCAAGCCTGTGTTTTTCAGTGATGTTCATCCAGTTTCCTATCTAACAAGAGGAAAGTGGACAAAAATGCTGACACAGTAGACATTAATTTGAACTATACTGATTTTCCACAGGGTCCAGTGATGAGGGCCAATAGTCATACCTCACATTCTGAATGAGCTGTGTCTGCCAGACCTCTGGGCCCACATTTTGTCACTTGAATTATATAATCCCCACTGAACTGTCATGGAGAAGCTTATGCAAAGACCAGAGACAAGAAGTAGATGTGGTGGACTACTCTGTCCAAGTGCAATTTCACCCTAAATTAGAAAAATATAACATTTACTTCTGCTCTCAACTACCTCCTACTAGAGTTCCTGGCATGGCAAAATTTGGCTCAATATCTTCTAATTTAATAAGAAAATTAGAAACAGTTACTGATTACTCCAGCAGAACACAACACTGCTCTTTTTCAAAGGTATTCCAGACCAACCAGTACATACATGCTGTTAATTTGCTTAAATAGCATGCATCACGCATATTCTTGTTTTGCTGGAAAGCATATTATTTTGCAAAATGAAAGACTGAATGTCCTAATCACAATATTTGGTTCAACAATGTATTCTGATGGCTGAAACTTCATGACTAGAGAGATTTTTCTTCTGAGTGCTGATTGGCTGTTGAAAATAGGAAAATAGTTTAAATAGTGCAGAGTATGAGGCATTCAAAGGTATCAAGACTAACAGACCTTGCACCCTACAGAGAATTTATCTGGAGTACTTCTACAGGTAAACCTGTTTTATTTACAGAATATTATTCTATATTATATTTAAAACTGAATTGTGCTTCTAGACCAGTTCAAATATGTTATTCCTTACCTCATATTTCTTCTGCAATCATACTGTTAACATGCGGCCAAAGATATTAATGAAAACGTCTCTATATGTTCCCCCATGTTTCTTCTGTGATTACTGTTAAAAATTGGTTAAAGAAATGTTTCTTAAAGTATCAGTGTAATAGCTTTGTAACAATCCTGGATTCATGCCACTGTATGTTTCTTGTGACTTGAGAATTCACTTTTAACAAAGAAAAAATATTAGAAAGGTTTAAGATAAGTACTTTAGAACTGAAGTACTTAAAAATTGAATATTCTTTTACTACTGTTTCAAAACAAAATTTGAACCTTAGTTTGTACGGTTTAAGTTAGTACAAGTAAGTATTGGTTTTCCAAGTCTAAGCTTTATAATTCTTCCATCACTGTGGGATGGACATTTAGCATGGCACTTTGCACATGAACAAAAAGCCAGATTTTTAAAGGTACCGTAATCAATGATCGGTACGTGCCTAAATATTTTTAAAAGCTGACCCAAAGAAGCCACAGTCAGCAGAAAACCTGGGTAAGTAGAAGGATCTTGCTATCCTTTATTGATATGGCCAAATTCAGTCTTCAGTGTATTTCCTTTACAACTGCATTTCAGACTTGTTAAACCCCTAAACTGGAGTAGAAACATATTTAGTGAAAACCCATTTCTTCACTCAAATACAACATGTTCTTACTTTGAAAACCTTAATACTGCCTGCTGAGGGAAATACACTGAACATGTGGTACTGTATTCTGAAGCCAGATGTGTGCTTTGTGCTTCACCTGGTGCAACATGTAACACTCATAATAGAAAAAAGGCTTTAAGATAAATACACAGTGACAGTAGCACATTAAAAATAATTTGGCCAAAAATAAAAATATAAAAACGCAATCAAGTACATGCTAAAGATGAGGTATTCTAGTGAGGAAATGGATATATAGACAGCTCTTCAAGAAAGTATTTACACTGTTTTCTTCTCAACAACTTAGCCCCACAAGAAGAAAAGAACCTGCATAGATTTCAAATATGTTTCAGATCTTTCCAGTTGCTGAATTCTGTTACTTTTTTTTCTAAAACAAATAAATAAAACTGACCATAGCCATGTTCTCTGAGACTCTACTAAATCTTCTTTGATAAGTCCATCTATGTTATTTTAAATGACATGACTATAGTTGCTGTGCTTTTAAGCAGCATGAACAAGGCTTGAAAGTTACAAAGAATTCCCTTCAAAGATTAGGGAAGTATTGAAGGAGACAGGCAAAGTTTGAAGAACTATGTTCAATCTCAAAATTAATTCCAGAATCCAAAGGCCTTTTATCACTGATATGTTCTTTCCATCCCATACTGAAAAATGAATGACTTAACTTTCTAAACAGACTTGTCCTTGACATCTAAAGATAGTTTATTATAAAGCAGATCCAGATGCTGTCATATTAACAATGTTCTCTTCTAGTATTAACCAAGACAATATTTTTTCCCTTTTTTTTCAGGTACTATATCTCGAGAAAGATGGAGGGCTGGATGTTGATCACTTGCCTACTAGGTGCAACATTTGCTATACCAGTGAGTATATATAATAGTTATATTGTAATTCAGTGAGCTATTCCATTAACTTTGACAATAAATACTCTCTTGAATTTGCATGCGAGTGCAAGATTAACACAACTGTAATAACATATGTACAGGACTTATACAAATATAATTATAAACTTCCCAAAACAAATGATTATTTACTGAAACTTAGTTAACCACTTTGATAAGTATTAATGCTATTAATACGATTTTCAGAATGAAAAGCCACTAGGATATATATATATAAATTACCAGTTTACCAGGGCTCTCAGCCCAAGGATATGGATTTCTTCCCCAACCTCTCAAAACCCTAAACCCTAAAAGTTTGGAAGCTTGATTTTAGATAGAAGGCAACTTTAGAAAAGTACAAAATTAGGCACATGCTTAAGTAGTTTAATTGATTTCCATAGGTCTATTTATGTGCCTGAGGGCTTTGTTGAACTGTAGACATAATGATTTAGCACTAGCTCTGAAGCAAATCTATCACTGGCCATAGGCATTTAATAATTTCAAGGATTTGGTTTCTAGGCTGTTACTAATATAAATTAGGTCACAAGAACTGTATTAATAAATTACATAAAGTAAATCAAACACACATATTGCAATTTTGTTTTCAACAGCTGCCTCCCCATCCACATCATCCTGGTTATGTCAACTTCAGTTATGAGGTAAAACATTTTTACTTTTCCCATTGTATGCATTCACCTTCCAAAACATATGGTGAGGACTGGTACAATACTGCAGTTATACTGGCATAAAACTACAGTAATGCAATGTTGCATATAGCCCACTAGGTCTCCAGACTGGATTTGCTACAAAATGTGCTTTTCATTAACTGAACTAAATTAAATCTAAACAAGTATTCAAATACTAGTAGTAATGTCACCCAGGAAGGACATCCAAAGAACAGAAGTTCATGTAGTAGTGATATTTCTTGTTTTGCTATCTATATTCAATAAAAACATGTTTTCCTAATAGTAATTGACACTCATGCATTGCATTCAGGGAGTTTAGCACTCTTTAAACAGTTAGTATTCTTTATATAAAGGAAGAAAAAGAAAACTAAATTACTCTCTTAGCAGCACAGAGTATTATTTTGTTCTTGTGTGTACAGCAGCATCAACACTTTTGAAAAGGGGTATCTTATTCAAGAGAGAATTAGAGGAAATGTAGTAGGAAAAAGAAAATCACTATTATTGGAAACTGTGATCTCTGGGGTTTTTTTCTTAAAAGCATAAAAATATTTGCAATTCCTTTGAGAGCAGCTGGCTTTAGGTTTCAACTTCGCAGGTTGCAGCAAAAAAAATAGGCTGTGGATGCAGACTCAAAAATAGAGTTGGCTAAAATGCAGGATTTCCAGCTTGAGAAATTTTTGGGGGTTTTTTGTTGTTGTTTGGCTTATGACTGAATCAAACCCAAGTGCTGTGGCAACCCTGCCTTTGATTCACTAAAAATTGTTAAACTTGTTGTGCTTGGTTGAAACATTTCACATTACAAACCAGCATATTTGATGAAACTCTGTTTAACCCAAACATTTCTAACTGCCAGTATTTAAAAGTAGTCTTCAGAATACACAGGGGTGCATCTACATGAGATGTTTACTGTGGAGTTGACTAATTAGGTCCGCAGTAAACATCTGTGCATCTACGTGTACAGGGATATTAGGCTGGAGTAAACTAATAAACTCCACAGCAGTGCACATGTAGACAGTGACATGGCTGTCAGGGGCATGAGGGTGTTTCAGCATTGGGGCTGCCTGTCCCCTAGCCCCACACTGGAGCACCCTCATGCCCCAGTCATCCCCTCCACAGCACACTGAGCTGGATCAGAGCAGCCCCAAGCTGGCAGGTTGACCCCCTGGACTTCCTGCCAGCAAGGGCTGCTCCAACCCAACTCAACATGCTGTGGTCTTGGGCACATGTTCAAATGGCACACAAAAGAGCAATAAACTCTGGCACTTACTGAGCTCGAGTTTATTGCTCTGTATTAACTGCACATGTAGATTGCCCATAGTGTGTTTAAATCTGTATCTACAAAATGACTTCATCCTTAGCAATGGGACAAAATGACAACACTACACTTATTAGACAACTTAATTTTACTCTCTCTGGCTAGAAGAGGGCTTTATATCACCTAAAATACTGATGTATTGTTCTTTTTTTTCCCCTGAAGGTGTTAACACCTTTGAAATGGTACCAAAGCCTGATGAGACAACCGGTAAACATATCTTAACTATCATCTATTTTTTCTACAATTTACCAGCTGCAAAAACCCTATCACTGACAGATTTTGACAAACATAGTAGCTACCTATACATACTTATATATATGCACATTACTAATAGAGTCAGCCAAAATTTAGAGAGCTTGCAGATGCTACATGAAAACACACTGGAACTAGTTGTGCCCTGTACCTTTGTGGGTATCAAAGTCAGGAGGAAGCTAAGCATATGGAAGTTTCTGTGCATGTAGAATAGAAAACTTTACATAGATAGCACTGCTTCAGGCTCTGGGCACGATGTGGCTATGAAACAGAAGTAAGCCAATACCTTTGCATTAGTTAGCACAGCTCACAAGAGGCAGACAGCAGCAGATGGCAAACTGGCTCCTCTTAACACACCCAAAAGGAAGGAATATAAGTTTTTAGTTTGAATGTTTTAAGTTTGTCATTCTTTTCTGCAAAGGCTGGAGAGATACAGATGATGCATTAGCAAGAAATACATTCTTTGTGACGGAGACTTTAATTTATGTGTGGACAGAGCCTTGCACAATGGCTTCTGCACCCGAATGGTCTCCTGGTGCCCCAACATGTAAATATTAGATAATAACTGAGAATGCTGGGAATGTCATAGAACTGACTAACTGTTTTTCTCCCTGTAGTATTCATCCTATGGGTATGAACCAATGGGAGGATGGCTACACCAGCCAATGTTACCAATAGCCCAACAGCATCCACCCATCCAGACTCTCACACCTCACCACCAGATCCCGTTCCTGTCACCCCAGCACCCGCTGATGCAAATGCCAGGTCCACAACAAATGATGCCTATACCACAGCAACAACCAAGCCTGCAAATGCCAGTCCAAGAACCAGTCCAACCACAGGCAGGTGAACATCCAAGCCCACCAGTGCAGCCCCAACAACCTGGGCATCCAAATCCACCAATGCAGCCTCAGCTACCTGGGAGTCCACACCCACCAATGCAGCCCCAGCAACCTGGGATTCCAAACCCACCAATGTACCCAATGCAGCCATTGCCACCACTGCTGCCAGATATGCCACTAGAACCATGGCGGCCAATGGACAAGACCAAGCAAGAGGAAATAGTAAGAAGGGATATTTTAAATCATTAATATCAGAATGAGTGTGTGTGCGTCTGTCTGTGTAGGCATACATGCACAAGTAAGTCTTTATGTGTATGTAGAACTAGCGATGCAACACATACACAAAAGCATGCTAATGTGATATTTCAAAAATTGACAAAGGTGAACATCTGAATATTACAGAAAATAAAAGAATGTGTGGAAGGGAGTGGGAAGTAGAGAGAGAGAGGGAAATACTTGTTGCTGTGCACATCCCTACAGTCACATCATATTTTGGTACCATATAGGAGGAGGTGACCTCTGTGATAAACAGGGTAAGGTAAGAAGTAGGTTTGCATGGTGATGTAGTGTCTATTGGCATTGATTTAGATCTGTGGGGGGTGGTTCTAATGAAGACAAAAGTGAATGATGCAGATATCTCAAATAAAAGCTGACAATGCCTTTCTGCAAAATAGATGATGGTGGGGGTTAGCTGTCATTTGTTACAGATAATGTAGCTTAGGAACGTTTCACACAAATTTAATTGGTTTTGAGTGACATTTGTTGTATTCTCCCACTACAGGTACTGAGTTGCTGAGACAGGTCCCTAAGTTGCTTTAAGTATAAATATGTACAGCTCAGAAAGAGAGAGAAATAATTAGAACTATAATAGGTCTTTATCAATAAAAATGGCCTAAAATAACATTTCTAGATATAAAAATTATCATGGCATTCAAGTCTGTTTCAATTTAGAAAGAAAGAAGCAAGGACAAAAAAAAATCTCCTAGAAGCTGTCCAGTAAGTTTCTCAGAATGAGAACTCAGTAATGGAAATAACAATGTAAACTTAAACTATAGTTGTCATTGCTAACTAAAAGTATAATATTAATCTAAAAAGAGTCAGTCATTACATGACGATTGATGCTGTGATGCTATTTAGCATTATCTTCTTCTCTTGTTGCCTGTGAAAATTTTACATCCATAGCTTCTGTTAAAAGAATTGTGAGAAGAAACCGTCTAGCAATGGACATAAGACCTGACTCCTAAAAATTCAAACTCTGGCTAAACAAAATGTTGGTAAAATCTGCACTGATTTGTAATCAACTCAAATGTGAGACAAAGGCCTCATGTATTCACAGTTGTACCAGTTAGTGAAAATTGTTTTTAAAAAGGTTATCTAGTTAGACCAATACAAATCATGTGTGTTCTCAAGATGGTTTCTACTGGTTTACCATGTCTGCAGTGTCTAAAGAAATTCTAAACTAAACTAGGGTAGCTTCTGTGCATAAGGATAGATTATATCCATAGAGCCATAAAATATGCCACACCAGATACAGTCTATCCTGCCAATGTCTGGGGACATTAAATGGTGTTTCAGAGGGAACATAGTGTTTCAGGGAAAGACAAAGAAATCCCATTGTATAGCTAACAAATTGTGCAGTGCTATACAAGGGTAAGGATATAATCTCCAAGACCTTGTATCATGCATGAAAATGTAAACAAAATGACAGCATAGCCTTTGTTACAGATATAGTTCATAACATATTATCTTAGCATATTTTAAAAAAATCATTCAATACAGTGAAGTTTCCTTACTACTTCAGAAGCACAACTGAAAGACAGCACAGGCACACCAGTTTAGTTCATAGATGTAAGTGATTAACAAATTTGCAAGCTTTTGCTATTTTTATACATACCATTTATTCTTTTATACCAAGAAATAAAAGGAGTTCGAAGTCATATCTTATCACTGGTTTAACAGGCAAAATACAAAGTCTACCACCATGGTTTGAGAGTTCTGTATGAGGCTGGTTTTAATTTAGTTCTTTTCCCTTTTCTTTCAGGATTAAAGAAACCAGGAAATCAGAAAAAAGCGAAAGTATTCTAGGCATTCTCACTTTCTTTCAAGAATCCATCATTCCGCTGGAGTCAGTGGTATATCCTTCCATTAACTCTTCTTATTAGTGAACGCTATAGCTAAACAAAAACAAAAACAACTAGCAAATAAAAATGTTTTAAAAAAATTAAACCCTATTGTGTCTCTTTGTGTTGAAGCTAGACCCTAGGAGTCGTGGCTCATAAGATACACTTTTATGTTAATGGTAATATAAATATCAGGTATGTCTCTTGGTCCCTTACTTATAAAAAATGGAGTGCAGACTAGAACCCCATACAGGACTGTGTCTTTAATCCTGCCCCTCACAGAAACCCTTCCCACTCCTGCCTACCCCTAAAAAATGTTCTTTTATTTTTTCCTGTTCTTGCCCACAACATCTTAAATCCAAGTACCTCCCACACAGGGACAAGACTTTTGGAATAAACAAACAATGTTTCCTCCCACAAGCTATTTTTTCTCACCCAATCCAGCCTGCAACACCACATCCTAGCACTGTCAGTGGGTCATGGCAGCAACCCACTCTTACTGCAAGGCTCTTGTGCAGTCTAAACAACACCTAGAAAAATTATGTTTCTAATTTGAAAAGAAGGTGCAGCCCTTCAGCTTACATAAAATGACCCTGGAACTTACATTCCTAAATAAGCAGGGATGCATATGATAGATGCTGTGAACAGCCTTCAGAGGAATTTGAACTATACTAAGCAACTTTATCCAGAGAGAAATTGACTCACATTGCTAGAAGGTAAACTGAACTTCTGTTTTTTAAAAAAAGACAGCATGAAGGCTGAAACTAGAAACCAAATCTTTGGGAACGGCTTTATAGTTTTGTTTTTCCAAATGATCTGAACACTCAAAGCCAGATCACAGTCAAGAATAAAATGCATTTCTGAATGGGTTTTTTTCCTGGTATAATCAAACTGTAAGGAAGAAAATGATTTGCTTAAAAATACTGGTTTCACTCACTTTTCTGTTTAATATTAGAGTATGATGTACCAATACTTCAGATATACATTGCAACTAAAATATAAAAAGACACATTCACAAAATTGATTAATGATTTTTTAAGAAATCAATTTATCTTTACATATCTTTTGATAACTTTACACATCTTTACATATCTTTTGATGATTTTAGCAAAGTCTTTTAGCATTTGATTCATTTCTTGAAGGTCCAGCCCTTGGAGGCATCCAATTTAAGCAAACATCTTAGATTTTATTAAAAAATAAAGGGGCTTTAGTCTTAAAGGTTGTGGACAGAAGATCAAAAATCCCACTGAACTCTAACAGCAGGAGTTACACACAAACCAGTTTCAAAATGGCTGAAACTGGTTTAAGATAAACCTGGTTGAATGTAGTATCAGACTTGACTAATTTAGGTAAACTGGTTTATGAAACTTCTGTCCCAGACTCCTTCCTAGTTCAGGTTAAATCACAGTCCCCCAGCATGCTTTCCACCCATGGACTGGGCTGTGCTGTCTGCTCCAGAAAGCAGGACCGCCCCTCACCCCTCTGCTCCCTAGCTGGAGCAATGAGGGTTTGTTCACTGGCCTCACTGGCTGAATCAATGGCCACCTCCACCAGGCAAACCTCTGCTGGGGTCTGGGGCTAGCGAGGGGGGATTAAATTTCCCTTCCCCTGAGTATGGAGCTGCCTTGCCCTGTTTACCTAGTGCTGGGTGTGACTGTGGACTCTGAATTCCAGAGGTACCTAGAAGCAGGAAGAAGAAATGGTAAGTGACCCTGCAGAGTCCTGCTGCTGTGATTCTGGACTGCAAATCCCAGAGACCTTGGGGCAGCAGGAAGAGGAAGCAAACATACAGCCCAGGCTGCCTCTGTGCCAGACAGCCTAGCACTCCCCGTCCCCGGCTTCTGACTCGAGCGACTGCAGACATGTGGCTGCATTTCCTGAATCAAAAGTGAATGTCTGTTCGTTTACTTATTGGTTAATCTTTGCAGCTTAAACTAACCTGCAAAGACTGAATCAATGCAGCCTCAGGCTTTCTGACTGTCTGTACTTAGCCTTAAGGCTTAGAAAACAGAAGATAAATAAGATAATCAAATGATCATATTCATTCTCAGTATTTTGGTATCCAACTTGTGATTTTCAAATGTTTCTTGTCTGCAGTAATATGTTATGACCCTTTAAATATAAGCCACAGGGGACATTCTGTATAGGGAATTCTAAGTTCTCTGCTAGTCAACACAAGAATAGACACCCATCTTTTTTACTTCTTTCCTCTAAACATGGATAGGAGGTGACAGGGAAAGGGGAGAGAGTTTTCACTTTGCTATTAACCTTCTTAGCAGTATCACATTTTTATGCATTGCATGGTACATTTTACAGATGTGTTAGACTCTGTTAGACCCTTCCCCTAAAAGCAGGAAATAAGATGAAAGTATAACTCCAACAGTTAAAGCCCATACAGGCTACTTTCAAGCCAAGGAAAAACAGCTTACCCTCTATCTGTGGTAAAAATATACCTGAGATCTAGCAGTAAGAGGCAGTGCAGCTAGCAAAGAAAGTATGTTCTTTGTCTAAAACTATTACACTTTAGTTCTAGCCCCAGCTCTGTCACCAATTTCCTTCCAGTTTACGGAAATTCTTTTAACCTCTCTATGCCTCAGTTTCTGCCTTTGTTAAATGGGAATAATACCATTTGCCTACATGAGGTTTATTGAAAATTAATGGATTAAAATAACTAAATCTTGCACAAGTCTTATGTAATGTTACAAAGGGTTATGTTGAATTTAGTTAGGGTCCAGCCAATAAAAACTGACATCAACAGAAAGGCTCCAATGGGAACAAAATCACTATGAGAGCCCACTCAGCCAGAGCAGATGAGCACCACACTGAGCAGATAAGCATCACCCCGAGAGGGAGGGTTAGTGGGGTTCTGCAAAGCAGCCTGGGATGCCAAGGGACTGCAACCTAACTCAAGTCACAAGGAGACTTTGTACAGAAGTTCTGTACAACTTCTGTATGACAGAACTTCTTTATGCCCTAAACTGCTGAAGTGTGATACTACATCCATCCAGGTCTTAGACCAGGTTCCACAATTTTTAAAGTGGTCTATTTGGGCTGAACTTCTGTTTGGTTATGGGTGTAGACTGATTTCTGATCACTTACACTGATTTGTGTGTAATGTCTGTACCTAGCAAAGGTGAACATTTTCAAAGGCATATAGAGTTGTTAAATGCCTAACTCCCACCAACTTGCATAGCATCTGATTACCATTTTTGCCTTTGAAAATCTCTCCTCATACACACTTCAATAGTGACAGAAAGGAGAACATTGAGATCGCCTCCAACTCTGTTTATGATGATTTTCACCTCCATAACAATGACATCATGTAAAGTTTGTCCTGTTGTTTTAATTGACTGCTTCTGAAATCTGCAGTCATGCACTCATTAACTTCTTCCTCCCCCTTCCCATCACTCTAGATTCCCAAATCCCAACAGGCACAAAATTAAGTTTCTAGATCTTTCACACATACCAAAAAAAGTCAACCCAATCTATGCTTAAACAACTACATGAGCTTCACATTTATTTCAGACTAGCACTCACACCTCAATTTTTAAACCCCTACATGAATTTGCTGGACACCTTAGCCTACAAAATGTTCATGCATATGTGTATCCTACATACAGACCACATATTTGCATGTCATGGCCCAGCTGAGGAGGCAGCAGCTAATACACTTTTTCTGCAGCTGGGCAGACCAGCTGCATTCTGCTTCACTCCTTCCTCCTGACAAAGAAAGCCACTGCTGACTAGTACAGAAAAGAGTTAGGCTATAAATACACTGCCCTTTGGGAGAGGGAGACTTCCTGAAACCAAAAGCAAGATGAGCAGTGTCCAAGAGGAGCCTATTTCCTGTTGCTACAGAAGATGAGTAAAGAGATAGAGACTATGGAAAAGAGGAGATAAAAAGATCTAGGATGAGAAGCAATGACAGTAGGACTGAGGAAGAGGACAAAAATGGGATCTGGGGAAGGCCCTATTGGATTGCAGAGAGGTTCAATACTAAAACTTTGGGACCTGAGAGTAACAGAAGTGGAGGCGGTTGAACGGGGTCATAGAAGACTGGCACATATGATTTTGAAGGTAGAGAGAAACACTCTGAAGGAGCGAAAGAAAGAAAGCATGAAATGCTGGGTGAAAATATGGGGAAGTGAAGAGAATGTAGCAGTGCAATTAAAAAAAGGGAAGGAAAGATCATAAAAGGGAGAATTTAAACAAATGCAGGTGAGACATACTGAAATTAATCTTGGGCAGCAAAGCACTGAGGGGCTCCCCTGAGAACACTGTCTTTTTCCACTTCCTTCCTGCTCCTTTAGTTCACCTGGAATCACCCTCCATCTCACAATGCCAGCTGGAACTCAAGAACATAAAGGCTTGGACTAATAAATGAGGAATGGGATGGAAGCGTGCCCTCCTGCTTGCCCAATACCAATGACTACCAGTCTAGTCTTGTAGATTCCTTGACTTTCTGAGCCTACTGAATCCTTTGTGTCACAAGAGAAGGAAAGCTGCTTGCAGACAGAACAAACCAATTGTTTCCTTTTACTCACAGCAAAATTTTAATGCTCCACATGCCAAAACACTCAAACCAGAACTTTACTTTGGAAGCAAAACTACTCCACCTAACACGCTAATGCAAGTGCCAAATGCAGTTATTTATACAGTTATATTTGTTGTCAGCAAATCATATACAGGGGTGGGCAAAATACAGGCCAGATCCAGCCCATGGCGGACTCCATTTCCTGGCAACCCCAGTGGTAACAGCTCCTTCTGGCTGCTGCTGCCTGACCCAGCCCTGCTGTCCAGGCACCCCAGCCCATTCATCCCACAAACAACACTGGGGCAGGACCTGCACAAACAGGGTGCACGTTTGGGCAGCTGGGATGGGGCCGTGGGCAGCAGTGTCTGGGAGCAAGACAGACAGGTGGGACCAGGGAGACCCTGGGATCTTGGGGCAATGATAAGGTGAGGCCAGGCAGAGCCGCAACTCACTGCCCACATGCCTGTGACGGGAGCAGGTTCTGCAGACAGGGCGTGCAGGGAGCAGAGCACAGCTCTACCCCAACCCTAGCCCTGGCCCTGAATGCAGCTTCTTGCAC